TTGCCTCATTCTGGAACCACCCCATATTCTGATGCTAGCTGACTTGCGAGGTAAGTCATCTTTACTCGACACGTACGAAGCAATGTATTACACCTGTTTCAAAACACGTTTTCGGTCAGAGATCTGCCATAGGCGATCTGAGACTTAACGGAATGTTTGCGTCGTTATGTTATCAAAACACGAAAAATCACATTCCTAACGGCAAGGTCATACTTCATATTCGGCATTGAATTCTATTACATTTTGCAGCGTAAGTTACTCGCTCAGATTCCACTCTCTCCGACGGCACACTTTTGAAATAGGCGTATGCCTCGTCTTATCGAACGTACAAATAGGAACCCGCATGCATGGAAACTATATTACTGGTTTTTATCCATAACTTAGTATGTTAATAGAGGGACATCTCCCTATAAATGATGTCCACTGAGAAGAAATGAAACCACACTAAACAGTTTAAACTAACGTTTCACAAGTCAGTATTTTGGATAGTTATAAGAAGAGATAACTAGCTAAAAACTAGTGTGATAGTTAGATTAACTTGAGATCAAATTTGGGGATCACAAAGTTTCAGTTCATAAATAAGCACCGGCTGCAAAATTCAAAATTTTTGAATATTCAAATAACAGTTTTATTGAGCCCTGAAACAGCCCCTGAATAAGCCTGAAGCGAGATGACGTTTTACCCCCGACTCTATACCATAATAGTTTTTTAAATTCTTTCATATTAAAATTTTTGATTCCTTAGAGGATATAGGAACAATAGTCATAATTAAAGAACAAAAGCAATGTGAAAAGGATTATGGTCTAGAGACGGGGGTAAAACGTCATCTCGCTTCAGGCTTATTGATCACACGGAAGTCATTTCAATAAAAAATACATCCGTTTACCGCCAAAGTCAAAATGTTGTATATTAATAAACATATAAACGAAGCCAGTTTCCCAACATTTTCCCCTTTTTCCCCTTTTATTACTCATTATCGTATATTGTCATTCGAAAAATTTACAAATCAAAATTAATCGCAAGATTGAACTTGAGATGAGTAATGCTTTCTCTTTTATGCACTAAAATACCAGCAGGGTTCGTGCTGAGGTAACCACTTAAAATTCAAGGACTATTCAAGGAGTATACAAAGACCCAAAAATGAATTTTCAAGGAGTATGTTCAGTTAACTATGCTAAGGTTTTACACGGTGGTTGCACATGGCTGACTTTCAGATTTTCCAATCTTTCTGATTAGATCTATTTCAGAACTATGCAAGTAATGATCGAAGCAATCATTCAAGGAGTTTTCAAGGAATTTCGCTAAAATCGTAAAATTCAAGAGCTTTTCAAGTGCCCTTGAAAACGTGAATTAAATTCAAGGAGTTTTCAAGGAGTTTAAGGAGTAGCACGAACCCTGTACCAGCTGCCGTGAGAAACAAGGGGTCAGTGTCCTGAGCTCGTTTTCGGTTGAGATGATAAACTGACTTTACCGTCTTGACAACTTTTGACAAATGGCAGAAAACAAGATTTGCCTAAATAATTCAAAGCTCGAAGACCAAAACCCCTAGGCCAGTACATTTTTCATTATATAATATTTTTTTAAAAACAAAGATTCAATCGGCTTTTTTTTCTTGAGTCCAAAAACGTTCTCAAACAATCAACAACCAGAACCGGCACACCACGCTTTTTCTATAAGTTACAGTAATTGCGTTTTCGTTCTTTTTTGCTTTTTGTTTTAGAAGATTCCGAGAAAAACATAGAGCCCAGCGGAAAAACTGGCCTTTACCATGTATTCATCGTCAAGGTTACTTAACGTGATCATCACGCTGTTATCATGCGTCGCCCACGTGATCAGTGAGTTCCAATGTCAAGGCACCTGCTATTCGGGATCTTTCCCAAAGAACAACCAAGTTATCAAGGGAAAACATCTCAGAGGATACTCCAACAAAAACATTACCACTGATGTTTCACGCACGTGCTTCTCGTCCTGTGTCAATGACTGTCGTTGTAAGGCGTTCCAGATGAAAGATGTCCGGTGTGAGTTGCTGGATGAGGACAAGACTTCCAAGGCAGCAGACTTTGTAAATGAGACAGGATACGTGTACTATGATCTACAGCAGACGTTCTACAAAGGGGTGAGTGTTGGTGTGTTTGCTGTTGCGTTACACATGAACAGTGCGTGACTAAAATCAATTTTCAACTTCCTATTTAAGAAATCCCACATGGTTCATCCTGCGGGTGTGTGTTATAATGGTTGCTGTAGAAGTCAGCCTTGTATGAACGGAGGAACCTGTGTAGAACACTGTGAGACACCAAAAGTCAAGTTCAGCTGCAAGTGTCCTAATACCATCGGTGGAAAAACCTGCGAGATGAAAATTAAGTCTTGTATTGATGTGTTGAAAGGAACTGCACCAGGTACCATGCCAGCAAATGGTACCTACATTATCACCCGTAGTGATAACAAGACTACTGTACCCGTTTATTGTGCTTTTGAAAGTCCAAACCAGACCTGGACTCTCATCGAGTCTTTCTCTCTACAAAATAACTATGTCTTCAATAACAAAGCCTTCCATCAAAATCATCCGAGGAACCAGGAATCCCATAACTGGAACGACTATCGCCTGTCGCTAAGCAGCATGAAGTACATCCAAACAAAGGCCACCATGTTCAGAGCTACGTGCGAGTACCAAAACAGAGATTCTCTTACTCCTGGCTTTGTGCTTGGATACAAGAAAGACTTTGATATCATCAATAGTGGGAATCAAAGGGGATACTGTGTCAACTTCTCTTACGCGAACTTCAAAGGATATGAGTTCCAAAGGCAACGAGTACCAATATGGCACGCAAAAGATCAATGGCATTTACACTTGGATATCTCATTGGGTTTGTGTGGATTCACGCCACCTGCAGCAACATACATTCATAACGAGGATAACTTCGGACATTATAATGCTATAAATCAAGCATTCAAATGCACTGCAACAAACCAGTCTACCATACAGTGGTGGTTAGGAGAACAGCAATAGAGTGACCACACAGCAGATCTACTGACCTTGGGATATAGGAACTTGTTACTATGGTAACACTAACCCAGTATTCAAATGCACTGCAACAAACCAGTCTACCACACAGTGGTGGTTAGGAGAACAGCTGTAGGGTGACCACACAGCACATCTACTGACCTTGGGATATGGGAACCTGTTACTATGGTAACACTAACCCAGTATTCAAATACACTGCAACAAACCAGTCTACCACACAGTGGTGGTTAGGAGAACAGCAATAGAGTGACCACACAGCACATCTACTGACCTTGGAATATAGGAACTTGTTACTATGGCAACACTAACCCAGTATAAGTACCCAACATAAGTTTTGATCAAGCAATTCTTAACCAATTAGTAAAAGATTTTCACTGTCATACACCAGTAATTTTATTACCACACCCACCCCTCCCCTCCCCTAAATAATGCAAGAAATTTTCCCTGGACAAATACTGATTAACAAGAACTGTATGAATTATAGTTATCTGAAAATTAGTTTAAAAAAAAACAAAAACGCCAAGACATTTCTTCATAGTTGAGCTGCCGCTGGAAGCTTTTCGCCCTTCAGTCCAGCGATGATGTTTCTTGATGTAAGAGTCGCCATGTCTGTTCTGGTCGCTTCTTCTGCGCTACCAATATGGGGGACAATAACTGTTGTAAAAAAACGGAAAAATCGTAAGAACTTTATTGATAGACGGGAAGGGATTTATACGAAGTCCGAGAACATGTAGTCTCCACCACAGCCGCTTTTAGTGTCGTCACGCAACGCTTTCTCCCCTGAGTAGCTACTATAATAGCTACTCAGGGGAGAAAGCGTTGCGTGACGACACTGAAAGCGGCTGTGGGGGAGACTAGAGAACATGTTGCGCGTGTAGCGAAATTAGTCAATCTCGTTGCCAGAGCCCTTATTTCTATGGCTCAGGTCAAACATCGAACTTCAGAGGAGCCGAACTTAATTGAAACAATGGAGGCGATTTTCTTTGATGTCATTAGGTTCGGCTCATGTGAAGTTTTACGTTTGACCTTAATCTTACTGCGCATGTTCGACGCAGGAGGAAAAGACGGATTGCAAAATTACTGTGCCCAGCAGATACCGCGTGCTGTGCTTTTAGCGCGACTGTTGCTATGAGCCGCTGATCAGAAGTTGGGTACGTAGCGCTTTTTAAAGCGTTGCTCATCAGCAGGCACTGTCTTTTCTCGGCGTCGTACCAGCTTCACAAGAGTTTTACCTAACGGCGTTTGTTTATTGCTTATTCTTATGTTTTTCGCATGCTGTTGTGTATTAAATGAGCGTGTTTTTGTTTTCTTACCGCAATTTTTCAAGGTGAGTAGAGGATGGTCCAAGGGAATAGGTTCAGGAACAGTAACATCTAGACCGGCGCCCTGTAAAACGTTAACGAAAATGACATTCCTAAGGCCAATGATTCACTTGTTAGCACGATGTATTTTAGAAGCTTTGGGAAACACGGGTAGTGTGTGTCGCTGAGGTCGTGCGTTCATTCTCCTGACTCGGCATCTAAACTAAGCTAAATCTAATAAGACATTTGCATGATGGCGTCATTTTACTACCACTACCAAAATATTTAACGAATTTTCTTTCTTATTCAAATTTGGTTGTATTTTCTCATGAGAATAATACTATTTCAACAACCCCACACACTTAATATTATTTTCTTTTCTATTATTATTATTATCATGGGTAATATCCTCTATTTCGGAGTACGAGCCAGGGCTAGAGTGCGTGTTATTGCTAGATTGTTTTGGCCATAAATGGCCAACCACTTACTCTTACTTCTCCATTCTTCAGGGCTTCGTACAAGTCATCTTGGTTCACTACTCCACCTCTGTAAGGATCAATCAATCAAACTCGACGTTAGAGTTTATGCGTAAGGCATCCACTAGACCTGTGCCAAGGTCTTTCACTATAATAGATGACTAGTAGCTCTGCCAATCAGCGCACAGGATTTGTGATACACCATAGTAGGTTTAGACTACTATTTAACCAATACCAACTTATTCAAACTGGTTAGAGCTGTGCTCTGAGGTCATACATGGACCGTATAACAGCTGTCAGAGGTGCCTTCACCATTCTTTCAAATTCTTCACCTGTTGAGCTGTGATACTAGTGTTCTTTGCGTTGGTGATTATAGCGATGACAATTTGGGGGGGGGGGGGGGGAGGATAAAGTTAAGTTAAAACGTACCGGCTAGCATTGACAAAAATACAATTCTTCTTCATTTTGGAGAACGCATCCTTGTTAAACATGCCTTCAAAAGAAAAGAATAAAAAAATTATAAAACTCTGAAATGATCACAAAAAGAGACTTCGCACCAAGCATCAATGGATGGCGTAGCAGTGAGAGCCGATGATAAGATACCTGAGAATAGATCATGACAGCCAGAATGGCAGTCATAATGCAGGATATTTATTTTCGGTTTATAATCTGACTTCTCTCACTCTGATAATAGATAATTGGTACCAATTAGGAATAAAAAATAATTTGTCATTAAGCCCACCTGGCTACCTCTTAGGGAACAGTTTCAAAAATTTTCGACAAGCATCTCCTTCCTTCTATATATTGGAATACCTCTCCCCCCCTGGGAATTTCAAACTCTTACCTTTGGTCTCGTCAGTCAACAAGGTACAAGCAATAATGAAGTCAGACTCCCGGAACAGTGTGTCTCTATCAGCTAAGAGAGAAAGAAAATCATTACCTTACTGCTATTTTCATAAACATGCAAACTCTGTAGCTGTGATGAGCACGCTGAAATTTGGTTTTCCTCCCTCCAGTCAAAATGTAAATGTAAATGTAAAGGTACTGTCTGATAAGTTTTGATTGACAGCAGCAAAAAAAAAAAAAAAGAAAAAAAAAATAAGGAAATGGAGCAAAAAGAGACAAGGAGATGCCTGGAGAGGATGCTAGGAGAGACCTAACGAACCTACTCACTTTTGATCCCAAGTCCAGGAGTTGAACCCAAGGCCCAAAAGGTGAGAGGCTAGCACACTACCACTAACCCATGACCCTTGATTCCCTAATTCAATGACACATGTATAGTACTTACCAAAAACAGCACCAACATCCTTGGCCACTGAAAAAAAACAAAACAGTTTTATTGAAAAAATAAATTCATAACTTCCTTCAATTTTTTGAAGATAATTCTTCAGAGGAATGCACCTTTTATTTATGACTAGCAAACATTAACATACACTTTGTCAAAGAATCTTATCCACATGGAGAATGCTATGAAAGGACTGAAAAAAATCCAAACGATCTTATTCCCATAAAGTTTTGGATAAAAAAAAACGAATCTTGGAGAATATAAGTGGATAAATGGGAATAGAATGGGCGGGAGGAAATGGAAAGTGTATTCTTACTACAGCTTTCTCAACTTCATCTCAGTTTTATGAACTTTGAAGTTTCTCATTTTTTTCACCAGTTTACTATGAGGGCAAATAAAAAGTAAAATTTGTAATTAAGTAAATAAATCTTTTTATTTATACACGGTAGGCTTTAAAGCTAGAAGCTGGTGGGGCCGTGTATCCTCCATACACACTTCTTACTACATTAGAATATTCTATACACACAACTCTCAAATTATGTTTTTTTTATGAAGGAAGGAAAGCTGGCATGTTATGGAGAACCCAGAGAAAAACTCTTGTAACATAGGGGATAACAACACATCAAACAAACTGAAATCACATACTAACTTAGACAGGGCTCAAACATGGGCCCCTCCTTGCCACGAGGTTTGGATGGGTGAGATGATGACACCTTAATAATAGTCTTATTTGTACACAAAAAAGAATACTGAACAACAGAAACTTAAAAAAACTTAAAATGAAATATATAATATAAACTAATAATATCAACTATATATTTATATCTACAGTACACAATGTCTTTATTATTTATTTCTTTTTCTTAGAAGCATAGACCATTCACAGTACCCACTTTTCTATGCAAAGATGAAAACTCACCATCATCTCTTTGTATGATGTCATTATACAGAAACTTAGCAACTCCAAAAGGAGCCAGTCTCTTCATTACAGCCAAACCTAAAAAAAATTAATTTGAAATTAACAATTAAAAAATAATAAAGACAAATAATACACCATTCTCTCATAACAGTTGACCAGCGCATGGAAACAAGGTCACCCAGTCATCCTGCAAGGCTGAGCAAGGCTGCTCATTCAGGTCAAGACGAAAGGTCATTTTCTAAACTTTTATTCTATAAATGCATTTCATGTGCTTTTATGTCCTTTCTTGTGAACTAATGACTGGGTGACCTTGTTTTCATGCACTTGTCAGCCATTATGAGAACAGTGTGTGATATGCATGGCTGGTTCCTCTTACTTACCAATTCTTCCAAACCCAACTACTCCAACAGTGCTTCCTTTCAATGTAGCTCCTGTCATCCACATTGGCTTCCATGTTCCCCAACCACCACTGGAAATAAATTAAATGACAAATAATTGGTTTTTATAATGACAAAATGCAAGTCAGTAATAGTAAAGACCTGACCCCTTATTTAGTATAGTGTAGGTAGGTTGTGTTCACAGGATATCCGTGGTTAATGATTGTTGTTGGTTTGCTGTCTTGGGCTTAGAATAACAGCCAGTCAGTTGCCAGCCATTATGATCGGCCAAATTAATTTTAGCTCAGTCATAACTTTCTAGCTCGGCGTTACTGGTCAAAATGACTGGCAAGGCAAAGATTTGACTGGACAAATTCCAATTCTGGCCACACATTGTCGATTGACCACCAGTTATTCTAAGCTGTCAGTTCAGTGTTGGCTGGTTGTCATCAAAGGGAAGCTTTAAGGATGGTGTGGTGACTTTTGAACAAATAGAAAAGTGGAACTGCTCTGGATTTGTCATGTGTAATGCTGTAATTACCTGACACCCTACTGACACCAATTTGGAGTTGCACCATTATTAACACTCCATTATTAACAGCTATATATCAATGACAAAACTACGGGTTTTCATCTTACTTTTTGGCCTCTGCAGCAGCCTCTACAATTCTTCTTGACACAGCAAGCAAAAGGGCCACATTAAGAGTTGCCTGTTGATGAATAAATAACAGTAGATTTCTTTAACTTTAGCATACTGTTTTCTCATTCAGACCTTGTGTCATTCCCTAGAGTATCTTTTCATTGTTTAACGGTTGCACATGAGAAGACACGTGAATATGGGTAAGACTCAACAAAGAATCTTTTTCTCAAAGAAATGACATGTGGTCTGAAATGGGAATGCATCACCCAATTAAGCTGTATTAAAGGTCCTTAACTATCCATTCGTGGAACCCCAAAGATTTCTCATGACTTGTTTGGGGTGTGTCAGTGGTCTGAGGGGGTGTTTCAGCCCTTATATCAATATACATATTTCCATAACCATTTTACTCCTGGCCAGTGGATGTTTTTAAGAACCATAATTTTAAAAAATTAAAAAATTAAGGACTTACAGTTGCATCAGTCAAAACTCCAGGCGTAAAACCAAGATGCAGATTCCTTTAAAACAAAAAAAAAAAACATCAGTATTTATCCCACACATTGAAAATACAGCCAGGAAGAATGCAGGAAAGCCATAATTGTAGGAGAGAAAACTGGCTCCTCCTCCAGGTAGTCTACACAGTTTACTACAACAACAACAACAACAACAACAACAACAAAGGAAAAGACCCAAAGTTATTCAATAGAGGGAAGCTAACAAAGAATACAATAGGTTTGTGGCACATATGCAAAAGGACCCAGAAGACTGGATAGCCCCATAATGCCAGCCAGCTTGACCTAGTTTTTTTCTTTTTTTCAGAATGGATAATAATAAAATTATTATAAAATTAACCTCTTAGCCAGTTCCTTGGTATTGACATGGTCATAACCAACAGACATAGTGGCAACTACTTTAAGCTGTGGTCCTGCAAAATACAAAAAAAAACCTTAAAAATTATGTTCTCTACATTACCACTGTTTTCATTGCTATGTGCTCATCAAGACAACAGTCGCAACAGAGAAATATGGCAATAGAATATATATTGTCAATCAAACAAATAGTCAACATGAAACATTAAGTTCAAATCTGCCAGATACTAAGACCACAGAGCACCTTAATTCAAAGTGTGTGGAGCTGGGGGGGTTTTGCTCGGGGAGGGGGAGATAACTGCAAGGCTTGAGCCAGCTATAACTGATCTTTGAATCCACAGGCAATGCTTGCACTGTACTAGCAGATTACCAGCATATACCACAATGACAATGACAATGTTTTATTTGCATCACTTTTACAAATTTTAAATTA